CAGCACGAACTTTTTTCAGGACATTCATAGGTCATTAGGGCCTACATAATGTCCATACGCTCGACTCAATAGCGATGTGATAGTTGGGAATGTTCCCTCGTAAGTCAGAATCATCAAATCTATGAGAAGAAATCATCATTTCTTCGTTTTTGAAATTAAAGATTTAATATTCTTAATTTCGTATCATTTTTTTTGAGAGTCGAACCGAAACGGCAAAGATATACAGTTGTTTAAAATTTGTGGGTAAACAAAACGTAATTCTATTACTTGAGTTTTAATAAATTATTAAGTTCTCTGGATGTAGAATTCAAGAAATGAGGACATATTTCTAAAAAAATTCAATCAAATGAATTAACTTATGGATATTCTTTTCTCTATGAGTCTGTTGATCATCTTCGATGTAAGTAACAGCTTGAACATGTCTGTTTATTGTTTTGTTGTTGTAAGTATCTTTTGAACTTATGCCGCTAATTGATGATCATTGACTGATTTTTGTATGTCATCAATATGGCAGCTGATACAACTCATTGTAACAGATTTTTTTTTCGGAACTTTTATCAATCAAGAAAAGAATTACTTCAAATAATAAAGTTTTCGTTTACTTACATATGAAGTAATTAATCGTATGATGAATTAAAAAAAATCAATGAATTTTTATATTGATCGGAAATAAGTGAAAAGATTAGATGTTAATGGTGTGAAACAATATAAATGATTTTTTTTTTCTCTTTTGAAAAGATTGATTAAACAAATGTAGAAATTATTCAATCTTTGTCTTATCTCAATCGAAGATTTTTATTCATATCGACAATTAAAGAATAGATATACTTAAAAATGGAAAAGCATATATCATTTAAACATATTTTACGCGTCGGGCTATTTGGCCTTGTCTTTATTCTGTTGTGACTGGAGGAAAAGAAAATAAAGGCATCTGTTTTTCTAATGTTCAACAAAAATATTGTTTACTTTTAGTGAAAGATAGTAATCAGTACATATACACACACATATCTTGTTGTGGATTGAATAAACAATTGGGTCGATTTCTTTTCTATTTTACTATATGACTCTCAAAATGATTGAAATTGACTATAGTAAAGACCAAAAAAAAAACTGATGATGATCGAAATTGAAGGCCATATGTCGATGATTCTTCACTCTAAACTGATTTGACTAGTTCTTCTACTTACCGATATTGTTATTTCAACAATTAAAACAGGTCAAATATATATGTATCGTGAAAAATTCTCATGCAAAAAAGAAAAAATCTTGCAACTGTCTATTAGAAAGATACATGTATTACGATGCTGTACTTTCTCTCTCTCTCTCTCATTCAGATCATATAGAATAGATATAGAAGAGATAGACAAATGTAATAATGATGAGGAAATCATACCGTATGATTACATATATATGTATTAAATTGAAAAGGTTTCTTTGTCTAGTATCTCTTCTCTTATCATGACTTAATATGGGAATCATACCCTGTTGTTAATCATCATTTTTCTATGAACATCAAGAAAAAAAAAAGGAACAGTTACTTTTTTTGTGAAACTCTACCTACCGTTGAACAAGTTAATAGTGACAGCTGTTCAATTCAATAAGCAAGTAAAAGATAGATTGTATATATGAACTATGAATATATTTTTTATCAATCAATCAGACAATACGACATACTAAATATTTACCTGTACATTACACTTTATTTTTTTTTTACGTCTCAATAAAAATGACATGTATGTCAATTTATCTTCATTTGTACACTATACCTTGCGTCACATTATAAATATACAAGTAATGGTTGTCTCACTATAATCTTGGTGTTAATGTGATAGAAATAAGAGGATAAATATTTTTTTGAGCCCGCAATTAGAAACATTTGAGCCCTGTTCGTTTTATTTGAACCCGGTGAAAATTATTCGGGCTCAAAAAAATGTTTTATATCGGGTGAGCCCGGTTATCCGTCGTTTTGAGCCCGGTCGTAAGATATTATGTAGATGGCGATTGTATAATAATATTCACCAATAAGATAGATTATCGTGATACGTAATTTGTGGATTGAATTTTTTTGAATTTATTACACCTTTGTTATTAAATGTCTTAAACATTTCATCATGGTTAAACGAACATGGAACTTTGTCGACAAATTTTCCAGTGAAGATGAACTCCAATCTTATATTGTACAAAATACTGTATCTATAAAACGTACAGAAGAAATTGAAGCTGGAAAGAAGGTCATATATAGATGTTCAAAGTATAGAAAATATCCTGAATGTGATTTTCAAGTAAAACGACGTGGACGACCAAAAAAAAAGCAGGACCAGCTTTATCTCGTTAATTTTTTTCTGTTATTAAGAATTATGTTATTTTTTCAAAATAAATAAACTATAGCAGGCTCAAAATAATAAATAATCGGGCTCATTTCACATTTCGTGATTAAAAAAGAACACAATTTTTTTTTTGAGCCCGAAGAATTTTCATCGGGCTCAATTAAAACGAACAGGGCTCAAATGTTTCTAATTGGGGGCTCAGAAAAATTCTTGTCCGAAATAAGACAACATACTTTCATTTGTAATGTACATGCCGGCGCCGGTCATTTTACTCATTGATGTGAACTGTGCGTCTTCCGTAATCAATAACATTGCTTTTTTTTCCCTCAATTCTATCAAGCATTTATTAAACATTTAAGAATGATGATGAACTCAGTTAAATTTCATTGTCATTTATTTTTACACCTGTATCAATGAACAATAGATGATGACATTAAAAAAAAAGACACGAGATAGGAGGAAATCAAAAAAAAAAAAGTAATTAGTTATGTAACATTTTACACAAAATTTATAGATAATCATCATCTGAACTGTAAATGGATATAGATGATTAAGTCTTGCAGACATTGATAATTATCATAATTAAATGATTGTCTATCGATAAGTAAATTATTTCGATTTCTAATCAATCCATATGTTCAATATCTCTCTCATATTCAATTTATTCAAGATGAATTAGATGGAACATTGAATTGACCAGTCAAGATATACGATACATATTTAACATCTCAATTAGATAGAAATCAATTGAAGCAACATACAATTCAATTAGATTTTTTTTTTTTTTGCAACGAATATATCACTGACATCTCTATCATATAAAAATAATAAAAATAGAACAATACAGAATAAGTCTATACGAGTAATCATATTCTGAAATAGGTGATTTCAAAGGGTCATTGAAAGACTTATTTTTCATCCACGGTTGAAACTTGAATCGATAATGAAAACAATGACAATTTTTAGAGCGTACTTTTTACTGCATTTTTTTTTATGCCGCGAGGATTTAATAATGGAAAAAAGTCGGTATTGACTAATTGTTGCAAGAAAAGGTATCGGACTTTCCAAGCTTTGTTATACAAAATTTTCATTCAGTATAAAAGATTTTTCATAAAAGAAAACAAGCATTATTATATTAAATCATTTTCACGTTTAAACAATATCATTAATGATTAGATTGAAATCATGATTTCATTTTTTTATTTTAAGAATATTTGATACAACATCGATGGACACTCGAAATTTATCTTTTAATTCACAATGAGATAACCTAAGTTCTTTATCTTTGATTAAATTCCTTTTATTTGCTTGAAATCAAGTGCACTGTAAGATACACAAAGGTTAAGAATCTGCGCAAAAAAAAAAGACAATGATATCTATTTGTCTATTCTTTGTCTTTCATAAAATTAAATTATATAGAGACAATAAATTTCTTGATAATCACCTAGACAGTTTCAATCATATGATTTATTCAAGTAGCAATGTCTATTGATGTTCATATTACGTGCAAGATGAACACATAGAGATGATTCACCGGAGATAGTGATAAATTTTGAAGTAAGAATAAAATTTACTATATACTTTTTACAAACTATCAAAAGAAAATATTTCAAAAGTTTATAGGCAAAGTAAACAAGTATATTGAATGAAATAAATTTTTAAAACATATTCTTGAATTTGTAATAGGAATTACAATATGTTTCACGTTTCAAAGTCTACACGAATTGCATTAATAGTTTTTATTATTAATTAAACATATTGTTCTTGAGTTACTTGCTTATAGAAATTTTGCGAATCGTTTTATAGGAAAAACAATGAGAATATATTATTTCAGTCTAAATTAAACAATTAGATTATCAATAATTCTACTTGAATATATTTTTGAAGTCTTCATATTTCAAATGAACGAAAAAAGTACTTTATTTAACTGATGCAAAGACTATTTTTCTTTGTATGAGCTAAAAAAACTTCGAAATTTTAGTTCATCGATTATGATCTATTTAATATTGTTAAGAGTAATGTGATAGAAGTTTTGACTTTTCTTTTTTTGAATATTTAACCTTGAACTTTTCAACATACGATAGATAAATGGCAATGTTCAATTATAATGATATAATATATAATAAAATAGAATTACTTGTATTTAAAATAAGTGATTTTATTACCAATACTTATTACATACTATAAATTGTAAAATAATTATTTATAATTTTTATGTACAAATTTTATCTAATGATAAAAATATTCACAAAGAACATTCTACAAAACGTATCGCTTTTATCTGTTTCTTTTTTTACACATTAGACTTTAACCAAACAGTAATTTCAATGGGTTTTTTTTTTTTATTATCATATGATCTAGGTAGATGTAATAGAGAACGTAAGATGATGTGGAATGTTGTTATTCTTACAAAAAATATAATTAAAAATTGTTTTTTGTTTTTTATGTTGAAGATCAAACTACAAACATTAGAAACATAATGAATACATAATTATATATTGAATATGGAAACAGACAAAAACATTATTTTGATAAAAGAAAATACAAAAAAAAATGTGTACATTTTCAAAAATATGTATATGTGTATTTGCTCGTTGAATACGACAAATTATTCTTGTTGTTTTTGTCTTTGTGTATAGCAAATCTGATTTTGATTTTGATAAATAAATTATTTTATTCATTTGAAAGCAAATAATTATTATATGTTTTGGATGAATTTCGATTGACAAAATGAAATGAATGTCTTAGTGAATCAAATCGTTGACGAAATGTTATTTTTTCATGTTGTTGATTTTCTTCATGTTTTTTTGGTAGAAATGAAATATTTATTCGAAATAAACGATTTAAATTTGTTTTTTTTAAATTTTTTATATTATTATTTATTTGTTGATTATTTGATGATATAGAATTGGTTTGTTGATTTTTATTATTGATTTCAATAGGTACAGATGTTCTTAATAGAAAAAAAGACATATATTTATTTTTATGAAATAAAACAAAAAAAAAAATTTTCTTCCTACGATTGATTTATATGTGTAGGTGCTAATGGTGCTTTTCGTTGTTTGATTGGAAATTGTTTTTTATCATTATCAATTGTTATTATTAAAGGTGATGTTAGACCTGTAGATAATTTTGGATAAAATATTGGATTTTCATCATTTTTATTTAATATTAAATGTTTATTTGAATTATTACTTCCAAATCTTGAACGTTGTCGTCTTAATGTATTTCGAAATGATTTACGTATTTGAGAAGTTAAACGATCAAATGGATGTGAATAAGAATTTATTGATGATGAAAATGGATCATCATCAGAATTATAATGAATATCATAACGAGGTTCAAATACTTTTGATTTAGCTTGTTCAGATGATGATGATGAATGACGTCGTTGTCTTCGACGTTGTAGAAAATTTTTTGATTTCACCGGTTTAACTAAATTTAATTTTGAATTTGAACAATCATTTGTATCAATACATGGATACACATGATCATCACTATGAGTTTTTTTTCGTAGGCGATAACGAAATGATTTCCGAAGAGTATTTGTCATTCTACAAACATAGAAATATAAATTAACTTATTAACATTTTATATCCATCAATAAAAACAAGTAATCTTGAAGAGCTATATAATAAAAAAAAAAAGAAGAAGGATTTCAAATAATATTTATGACAATAATTGTATAATAATGAAATAAAATCTGTAACAAGGTTATTAGTATTGGTCTTTTTATGTTCTTTCTTCGTTCTTGTCTTCAAAATGAAAGAAAAAACGACGTATGTACTAAATTCTAAGTAAAACGACAACGAAATAAGGACATCAACAGTATAGAAAAAAAAATGTATATGATGCGAGCACCCGAGGTATTAATTTAGATAACAATAAAAAACAAAAAAAAAAAGAAGAAGAAGCAAGAAAGAAAAGAACAAGACGTAGGAAGGCAAAGAGGATTGAAAGAAAGAACATCAACAACAAAAAGAAAAAAATAAGAAACGAAGATAGATAGAATCTGAATATAACGATCAATCCAACTCGGTCTTTATCGAAACAAGTAACATATAGCATGTCACTAGTGTCGTATTAAAGAATGAACACTTCTTATCTATCTTCGAAGTTATTCAAGCATAAGCGGAAAAGATCGATGAAGTAAAGGAGTATATGAAGGACAAATAAAAAAATATAATTCTAATTAAATAACAAAAGAATGGCGGGATGTACAGGTATTGGTATAAATCAATATGTTGATATATATATATCAACATCATGTGGGTAGTTTTTGTAATTTGACTTGGAGGACAATTATCAATTACCGCCTACTTGTCTCTATTTTTACACAATATATATATATCGTCATTATGACAGATAATCTTCTATTACAAATGAAAAGAAAATAAATTGGTTTTTTTTGTTTCTATACACTATTAAGTTAGAAAATCAATATTGACGTAGTATTTTCTTGTCGATCAAACAAAAAAAAAATTTTTTGTTAATGAAAAAAGAGAATATATTCTTTTTTTTTATAATAAAAAAGATAACATATGAAAGAGTATTAAGATATTTTGTATGACACATAAATATTCAGTTTTTTTTACACGTTTGTTTATTTGACTAATGGATTTTATCACTTAACTATATGAAAGATTATAAATTTCATAGATCAAATTAATAACATATCAACATTTGAATGCAATCATTCGAGTTCATTTAAAAAGTAATCAAGTAAAATGAGTTCCGGATTTTTATTTATCTAGAAATAACTCAAGGTCTATGCGAAAAAAAAAACATAGAAGGAAGTTAGAAATATTCTCTATTCCATAGTTTGATGAGATTAGATCAAACATATCTATGACATTTTTTTTTTTTTTTGTATCAGAACTTATAATCTATTTATTTAGGAAGCTAATTTCTTTTTACTTTTAATTATCATTCGATTTAATTAAACATAATTCAATAATAATTAATAATTAGATATCAAATTGATAATGTCATATAACAAATAGCAAACATCTAACACTTACTATTGTTTTAAGAATCATATTTACGGAAAAAAATAGTAAAGATAAATATTATTCCTAAAAAATGACATAGAAGATCATATCAACATCTTCTACTAATAAGACATAACACCCTAAAGGGTTCATAATCTGAAGAATATTACTAAAATGCTTATGAATTACTTGCATATATATATATGTGTGTGTGGGAAATATGCTCGTCAAATACTAACGAAGCATTAAATAACGAATATGATATTTAGGATTATCTAGTGATCTTATTGAATAGGTAGAAAATTCATTAAAAATTGAATACAATATGACTAATTCATATTTATCATGATAATTACAGAGGTAGACTAATAAATAGATTAGTTTTTCTCATTAGACTTCTTCTTATGTTGCACAAAAATATCGTATTATTAATAAATAGTCAACAAAACTGAAATAAGATTACGGTGACTTATATCGAGTTTACTAAGTACATTGTGGGTTGCTCGATGTAAGATTTATTTCAAAAGATGATAATTTTGATTTTTAATAAAAATGTATATATCATTTATTTTTTGGATATTAAATATAAAATAATAGTTATGTTTTACTGAATATTTTTGACGATTCCGGATATTCGAAGAGGATACAATAGATCAAATTGAAATAACTAATAGATTTTATTTTTTAGAGAATATCTCTTCGAAAAATTTCAAACCGATTGGACAAAGAAAAGTTCAGAAAACTTATATTTTGTATAATACTGAGTAAAAGAAAACAATTTCTTAAATTCAATAACTTTGTAACAGTAAACTATTTACAATCAAATGATATCTGTAGAGAATATTCTTAAAAGCTCTTATGAATTTATTTATTCTGTTTGTTTCTATTTTAAACATTAACAAATATCTGGAATTTTAATTCTGTACAAAAAAAAAGGTTTCAACTAAGATAGAATACTTCCTTAAGGCTCAAGATATCAAAAAAAATTTTTTTTGTAACATGTATTATCTAATAGAAACCGTATAGCTTTGTTAGCTATTAGAACTAACTAGTATCCCATTAACATAACAAGATGTTCATTCGACTATATGTATTGTTAGTTCTAGATTTGATTTTGAATGGCTCATTTACAATCCTTCATACTTCAGCAAAAAGCTATCGTTCTATTTTCTCAAATCGTTTCTGCTAAAATTTTCTTTATACTCAAAATTTCATTAATAATCTTGTAATCATGCGTGCGACTTAATTCTTTTTATCTTTAATAATAATTGAGTTTATTCAGAATTTAATCTGAACCGTATGACTTACTGTTGTTTTCGGAAACATCAATCAAACTTCAAAAATCTCTACGATATTAACATAGTATTACAACTTTCTTTTTTTTTGTAGCCAATCTTCAATAACAATCAATCACAACATACCAAATGTGTAATGAAGTACGACATATATGCAATAAATTCTATAAATATACATAATGATGTTTGATGAAGAATGAATAGAAGTCATAGAAATTATTGAGAATGCCATATACAGATAAGAAATATAATCTGTTAAAAAATAAAGGAAATCATGAACATATCTATTTGTCTCTATAGATTAAATAACAGTCAAGATGAGTGCAATCAGATTAGTGTACTGATTCAACTTGATATCTTATAAGTATCTAATTCAAAGACATAAGAAGATTAAATATACATTTTTTTTAAGGAATACAACGTTATATGGATAACATTTGTACGTATTATTCATAACAAATAAATAAAAATGTCAATAATAGAATTTATAATTTAAATAGACATACTTTACTCTATTTGTTTTACAGATAGTATTTGAACAAAAAATAATCATATATGATTAACACTTGTGGAATTGATTTCGAACTCGGTCGAGTTTGAATCTCAAATTTTTCTATTGATTAAGTTCAAATTCGAAAATGTTTGGCTCTAATAGAAATAATATCTTGAAAAAAGTTATTGTTTGTGTTTGATTCTTTCAAACCACAGCAAAAGATTAAGATTATTATCATATTTAAAGTAGTAGTTATTATCAGGTCTAAGATACTTGCGTGCAAACACTTGTTCATTCGATAATATGTTCGCTTGAACACTTTCGCCTCATAGTAGATGGTCGTCGAAAAGGTTTTATCTTAATTTTTGAACTGATTAATTGATTTAAGAGTAGATGTGACTGAAGACAAGATTCATGTATATGTTTCACTCACACGCAAACAACCTCTACATTTCGAATTTCATAAACAATATGTCGGATAGTTAATCACTCAAGCAGAAAGTGAGATGGTTAAACAAAGAACTCGAAAATATGATTGCAAGTTTACATATAGAAATTAAAATATATTGGACGTTTATTGTCCATATAAATTCATTTTCTACAATTTACTTGCGTATTTTTGTTCAATGTTGTTGCTTTTTATTTTAATATGCAATATTAAGGAATAACTAAATACTATATATTTAAATTTCATGTGTTCTTATTACTATCGCTCGCAACTGCTCGGCTTACATTCTTGCCATAGTAGAAGAAATTCAATAGAAAAATTACGATGATTTTAATTGTGTTATAACAAAACAATTGATATGAAGTACTATCTTATTTATATTTAAAACAAATTAGAGAAAAACAAAGGACACAATCTACTAATGACATAAGAGCAGTCAACAATTCATTTTAAAGGGTAGAGTTCCTATAAGTTAACAGCACACGAAATATTTTTATCAAGTCTTTCATAAATCATAACATGAATATTCTGTAATAGTTCTAATGTTTGCAATTCTATCATCAGTAGACAGCGAATGCTGTTTTATTACTCTTCTGTTTTTGTTAATCCTACTATCCTGTACAAAATATTTTTCTGTTATTTGATCATAACGCCGATGACGGAAAATAGATTGCAAACAATAGAGCTTTCGACTTTTTTTTTATCAAGATATTCTAAAAGTAAATTATAGTATTTAATTTCGACGTAGAGAATGTATTTGAATCTATACTTATATACATCCGTTGTCAACAGTTTTTCACTCTTGATAATGTAAACCAATTGCTATGATTAAGAAAAGATGAATACCATAATTGATATCTTATCGCAAGGACATCATTATTTGAGAGTTGTTGAGAATCCTAGAATGGTTTGATTTTCTGAAGCTGCAATCTTGAGATATCAAAATTTTACTGAGTTTTTCGTCTCTTACAAGTCATGCGAAAAACTCACTTTCAATTTTTGCATGAACAAAATTTTTAATGATACTAGTTGGTTGTGTAACTATAGTATTACTTTGATGAAAATGTAAATATATGAACAAAACTTACTTTTACATATGACAGAGTTTCGAATATTGGATATCTGAGGATAGAATAACATTCATTATTCATTGATTTTGCCCGTATACTACTCAATAAATATTGTGTTTTCATTCACAAAAAAAACATTCGTTTGAGTTTTAATAATAGTGCGCGTCAATGTTGACGATCAACACATGTGAGCAATTGAACAATAGATTCGTCGACATTTTTTTAAACTACTATAAACTTCTGATTAATCGAATAT